CCCCCTCAGGGACTGGCCGCGCTGCCCATGGCCGCGCCGGTCGAACCGGCTCCGCTACCAACTGTGGCAGCAGCAGAGCACACTGGACACTTTTCCCTTGAGCCAAAGTACCGTCCACGGGTGCAAACATGCGTACAACACTAAACGCTAAACCTGAACGCAACGGATAGAGAAAATTACTGATCAGTTACAAAAGGTCAGTTGTCCAGACAGGAATCGGCTCTTCAACGATCGGAAGTGAGGCTTCAGGACATAGACACCAAGATAGAAAAGTCAAAACACTATCTCAGCGAGCTGCAGGACAAACGAGATCTTGCAGTCGAATGGGTCCAAAGGCACCACGAAGCTATGATCGAGCTACGGTCGACAGCTTCGGACATGGACGCAGAGGTGACGGGTACAGCGACTCCACCAGGAGATGCGGCGCCGACTACTCCCAATGCGCCGTCGCCTGTTGGACCCCAGCACAGTGCGTCTCAGCAACACCAGCAGCAGCAGCAACAGCAGCACTTATCGGACATGGCCATCATGCAAAGACAGTTGGCACAGATTGTTACCTCACTCACTGCGTCTGTCACATATCGATGCGAGTATCAATGCTATTGGAGCTCAAGTTATCACAGTCAACAACAGACACGAAGCTTTGATGTCGGCATTGCGCGGAGGTGCATCACACGTGGAGGCAGCGGAGAGTGCGAGAGCTACGGAGGATGCCGCTGCTCCCCATCTGCTACCAGCTGCGCAACCTCGTGCTGCACGGCAACATCCTGTGGCTACGCCAAAGAGGGGTGGAGCTCACAGGAACGATCCAGATCATCGGCCTCGACGCCGCCCGACCAGAAGTCCTTCGCCAGGCCGACGAGCACCAGCTCATGCTGGCTCTACGGACGCGGTGGAGACCACGGTCGAAGTGGCGGCGGCCTCTCCAGCAGGTGTCGACGACATAGACGACGCTGTGATGGCAGTGGGGGCGCTGCCCCCACAGATGTGAAACCTCCGTGGGCATTATGTACCCTCATTGTTTCTGGAAGCAGCGATTATCATCATTTCGTCGATCGTGCAGGCCCATTTCTTCGTGATGAATTTTGTGTGGCGCCCACGCAGCTCAGCTTAGTGTCAGAGACGCTCGCTTTATTGTGGGCGATGTCGTGGGCACTCCAGTCTCCTTTTGCAGATGTCCAGTTTCAGTTCTACCTAGATAACGTTGTTGTCACGAACGCAGCGCAAGGTGTATGGGACATACCACCGTTGGCAGGTTTGTCATCATGTTTGCGTTCTGTCTTTCACGTGTTCATGTACAAGCAAACGGCAGCTTTCAGACATGTTCATGCACACGCACAGCATCGTTTCAACGAATACGTACAGCATCCTGTTCGTGCACACTCACAGCATCCTGTTCATGCACACGCACAACATCTTGTTCATAAACACGCAGCGCTAGCGGGCATGGGAATACTAGAGAATACTGTTGCGTGTCCGTGACTGCCTTTTTTACACGATCCACAGTTGGCTTTGTGGGCATGGTTGCCGCTATTGCCGACCAGTGGGAGACGACAATATCCGAGCATTAGGCAAGGGGGCATGATCATCGTCGACTCAAATGCCCCACATGAGAATCCACCAATGCAAAGATGCGTTGGACACGTTCCAGATCTTTTTACTCTGGAAAACTCTCAGGGGCGAGACCTGTCCTCGCGTTTGGAACTTCGCCTAGAAGTTGCTAACATGATCACACTAGTGTAACCTAAAAAGATCAGGTGCATTGGCAAGAATATGAGCAGGAACAAGCATAAACGTGGTCCTAGATACATTGGAGCTTATATGGCTGGTCGTCCTAGGCTTCTAGCTGAAGAGTTTCGACAGTATGACTTTATGGTTGTTGGTACTGCCGAGACTCGTATGCCTAATCCGGGTGGGTGTCATGTCGGATCTTTCCTGGTACTACATGACCCAAGACATGAGTCTGGGAGTCACGGCTGTTCTTTATGGTTTCGTTTACACAAGGGTTTCATTCCAGGCAGGAAGGACACTTGAATTTCCAGGAACAGGCTTAACGTGGCGGCTGCTGCTGCACCTACACTGTTGGTCGCTAACCTGGCGCTGGCTGCTTTAAGCGTGACCTTTTGTGTAGCACACGCACCGCATTCAGGACAAAACAACAGTGAGAAACTCGCATGGTGGAAGGATACTACAGCTACGTTGAGAAGAGCGGCTGGCCAGGCCGACTAATTGTTTTTACTCATGGATGCCAACGCGACGGCGGGCTCGACCGTTTCAGGGTCCATTGGAAGTGTTGATGCAGAGCTGGAGTCCTTCTGCGGGACATGTATGCATCAAATGTTTAGGGAGCTGGATTTGTGTTTGTCTTGCACGTTTCTGGGCCCCGCGGTTGACCGCAAAACCTGGATCCCTCCTGATGGCTTTTTCCATGCACAACGCATTGACTAGATTGGCGTCCCTAAGAAGTGCTTACAATACCCCTCAGGGTCAAAGGTAAGTAAGGATATCGAGCTCATTGTCTCCAAAGCTGATCATTACCTTGTCCAATTGAGTGTCACCGTGCCTGTGCCTTCGGCACGGGCCAGCCTAGGTATGTTATCCGCGAAGCCGCAGCTGGACAGGCGCATGCTTCAAGACCTAGAGTGTATTCAGGCTTTCAGTTCCCATATGCAGGCATGCCCTGCGCCATCGTGTGCGGCACCGCCTACGGAGCACTGCACGCTTGGCACGCAGCACGTACGTTAAGGAACGGAAGCATGTTCCGCCAACCACGATCGACAGAAAAATAAAGCAGGAATGCCGGAGATCACACTCGGTTATATTGCGTCGGTTCGCTCGTATCGAAGAGGTATTAGGCAGGTCAGGCAGCCGATTGCGAAGCTCTGGCACGCAGTGATTTTTAGTGCTTGAACTGGTTCAGGCTTATCGGCGATATTCCGAGGCTTACAGTTCATCACGTTGGTTCTCGGTGCTGGTCTGGCTTGGCTCTATTGTGTCGGCTAGTATCGCATCGTATACAGGCTCTACAGTTTATACTACAGCCCCTCAATCGTGCAGGCCGATTTGCATCAATGGTTTCGAGCTGCTACGCGTACTTGACTTGACGAGGATGGGGTTGAGTATATGTTATATGTCTTATGTTCGTCACACTTGTGCCTTGGCTAGGCTTGTGCAGCACGGATTTCGTCTGTGCGCCGTCTAGCTAGGCAATGTGTTTGTCTTTCTTTTTGTAGTATGCGAGGGAGAGCAAGCAGTAGCAGCAGCAGCAGCAGCAGCGTGCTCGTGCTTCATGACTTGCTCTTTCCTCTCGTGCCATCCGTCCCGATTGGTCGGGAACACCAACTTCGGCGAGGCGCGCCGCGCTTGCCTGCCGCCGCCGCCGCCTATGAGGAGGAGGTGGGTTGACGGTTGGATGAGGATGAGTATCGATTGGGTTGGGGTGCTGTTGGGCGTCAGGTGCCCTGTCACTTTCCCTTGCTCGTGCTTCCACAGTCGAGTTGATCGTTGAGGGTCACATCATATGGACCCCTCGATCGAATAGGCCCGATTTGAACAGGCCCGTGGCTCGTTGTGGCACCCTTGGCCGCGACACGCCCCCGGCAGAAGCTGACTGCAGCTCTTTCGCGGACATCCGATCCGATCCGATCCGATCCGATCCGATCCTCCTCCTCCTCCTCCTCCTCCTCCTCCTCCTCCTCCTCCTCCTCCTCAACTGTCTCAATGTTCCTCCCCTGCTTGCCTCGGGAGTGCCGCAGAGGGCTCCGAGGGAGACTTCTTCGTCACCGCTTCCCGTGGCAAGGCTCGCACGGCAGGGCCCCCCGGGGAGGGGGACCGAGGAGGCCGCTGCGCCCTCGTATGCCCGCCAGCGACGGAGGGCCCGCACGGTCTCTGAGAGATATCTTTTGTCCCCCCGCCCTGCCACAGGGGGAACGACGCGGATTGGAGGAGGAGGAGGAGGAGGAGGAGGAGGAAGAGGAGGAGGAGGAGGAGAAGGGAGAGGAGGAGGAGGAGGAGGAGGAGGAGGAGGAGGAGGAGGAGGAGGAGGAGAGAGATGAAAGGAGGAGGAGGAGGAGGAGGTGTCTGCTTATCCCCTCTGCATGCCACAGCGGGTACATCAATTCTGTAGTACGTCCCCTACGCTTTTTGGATGTCGGAGAGAGGTGGCATTCAGGGGTAATTGCGGTGCCCAGCGATGCATCGGCGACGTCGACGTGAAGGAAGTCGGGCTCCACATCGAGCAGCATCGGCGATGCATTGGCGATGCGGCGCGATCCTCCGACACCATCAACTGCGACACCACCTGGGTCTCCACAACAACCCCTGTCCTACCTCCACTCCACTCCCCAGACATCCGACCGCTCCAATTTTTCCGATGCGTCGGCCCCAGAGGCCTGGACCACTTCCCCAGGGACGGCCTTTCGTCCTGAGCCCTCTTGCTGACGCTCCCGAGGCTCAGCGAGGGCCCCCGAGGCCGACAAACGGGTCCAAACCCGCTGCTTCCATCTTTGCTGGAGCGTCGGACCTCTGGGTCTGCAGCCGACCCCCTACTCTTAGGTCGGGCCTGTCCCCCTACAGGGGGATGTTCGACGAGAAATAAAAAATACCCAAAACATGGTCAAAAAATAGTCCAAAAATAGTCGGGGGACTATTTCTTTGTATTTTTGTTACCTTTGGGGGGTACTTTTGGGGTATTCTTTACTTTTCGTCGAAAATCCTCCTGTATGGGGGACAGGCCCGACTTAACCCTACTCGGGAGGTCTTCGCCCCCCCCCGCTCCTCCCGGGAGCGGCCAAGAGGGGGGTGTCCAAGAGCGGGGGGTGCAAATCATGACCGGCGGCATGTGCGCGGCCCAGCGGGGGGGCCGGGGACGTAATGAAATAAGAAGAGGCGCCGTGAAATCTGGGGGAATATCATGGCCCCGGCCATGATATCCACCCCCCCCCCAGTCATCACCCCCCTCTTTGACGCCCCCGATACTCGGGAGGCCTTCGCCCCCCTGCTCCTGCAGGCCGTCCAGGCGCGCGAGGACCCGGGCCTCCAGCCGCGAGACGTGCCCGGCGCCCCCGGCCTCGAGGCGCGCGAGGCGCGCCAGGACGTCCGCCTCGTGCGCGGAGGTGGCCTCGCCGGCGAGCCTCTCCGGCGGCGCGCAGGGCCCGGGCGCCCCCGGACCCCCCCTGGAGGCCTAGAAATGGGCACCAGCACCAACACCGGGGGTTGCCTCCCCAGGGGGAAGACGACCCTCGATTTCGGGGTTGGTGGCAGTATTTCGGCCACCTTGGAAGCCAGAATATTACCCCCATCACAGAGATCCGGATCTTCCTCCCTCGGTGGATGCACACCGCCGATATTGGTGCTTGTGTCAATCTCTAGGCCTGCGACCCCTCGCGCGGTGGAGAAATCACGGCGGGAGGTTTGTCGCTCACCTTCAGCCTCACAGGGGCCCTCACCGTGCCGCGGGACCGTCAATGAACGACTCGGGGCGAAGAACCGGTCCCAGGGAAGGGGTCCAGACCTCTGAGGGTCGACGCTGCGAAAAAAAAGCACGACGTCGGGGGTCTGGGGTGCTCGCGCCGCGGAGAGATCGGGACGGGAGGTTCTGGTCAGAGAATCACCCTGAGATCCTTACGTGGCAAGTCTTTTCATCACACCGGGCGATTTCGCTCGATTTCGGGCCCTGGGACCCTCGCGGATCGATCGGGCTCGAAAAATGGCGCAGAGAGATGGGGTCCGGGGCTCTGGTCGTGATTGTTTGCGATGTTGCAATGTTTGTTGCAACGTCCGTGCTCGCCCCTGGGGGGCCCTGGCCCTCACTGGGCCCCAGGACCGGCAAAAGCCGAATCTCGGAATGAAGAACAAGCCCCAGGGCAAAGGGTCGGGACTTCTCGGGACCGCGCAGAAAAAAATCAGGACGTCGCCTGTCTGGAAGGGGGTAGGGGGAGGGGGGAAGGCTTCTCAGGAGGAGGCTGCTTCTAAGACGGCGCCAGCCTTAATAGAACAAGAAAAAATGCCATATAAACAAACTTTGGGCGCTCCGCGCGGATTTCTTGGATCTGCGCTGGGCCCCCCTGGCGCGCAGAGCGCGCCAGGGGGCGGGGCCGGAGGCGCCGCCAGGGGAGCCCAGCACGCATCCAAGAAATCCGCACGGAGCGCCAAAAGTTTATGTTTATGGCGTTTTTCCTTACGTCTACAGACGAGGCCCGCGCCTTCTGAGGAGCAGGGGTGCTTCCGAGAAGCACTCCCCCCTCCCCCCGTGCCCCCCTTTCTGCGCGCGGCCGACCTCTGCACCTCGGCGATCTCGTTCTGGATCTCCTCGGGCAGGAGGGCGTCTGCGGTGGGCTCGCGTCGTGGCGGCTTCGGTGCTGGTCTGTTCCAGAAGGGAGTCGACTGCAGAATCAGTGTACCCCAAAATTGATCTACTCATCGAGTGTACGAAAAATACGTGGAGTGCTCGCAGATATACGGCACACTCCACGTATTTGTTTCGTGGATCCGACGAGCAAATCCATTTAGAGCAAATCGATTATGTGGTTGATCCCCTACGGTCAGCCCGTCTCAGAAGGATGCGCCATACGGATGCGAGGGCCTTGGACGCCCATCTCGAAGCTTCTCGAGCGGGGCGCGGCCGACGAAAGTGGCCAAGGATGGGCCGAGGAGGCAAGGATACACGGGTACCCTGGGGAGGGTTGCCTATCCTTACTGTGCGGGTTGACTGTACGCGTTTTTCGTAAATCCGACGCGAAAATCATTTCTGGAGCATATCAATTATGTGGTCGATCCACTCCTCCTCCTCCTCCTCCTCAAACTCCTCCTCCTCCTCCTCCGCTTCCTCCATCCTCCTCCTCCTCAACCTCCTCCTCATCCTCCTCCTCCTCCTCCTCCTCCTCCTCCTCTCTCCTCCTCCCTCCTCCTCCCCTCGCCTCCTCCTCCTCCTCCTCCTCCTCCTCCTCCTCCGCCTCCCTCCGCCTCCTCCCTCCTCCTCTCCTCCTCCGCCTCCGCCTCCGCTCCTCCTCCTCCTCCTCCTCTCCTCCTCCTCCTCCTCCTCCTCCCTCCTCCTCTCCTCCTCCTCTCCTCCTCCTCCCCTCCTCCTCCTCCTCCTCCTCCTCCTCCTCCTCCTCCTCCTCCTCCTCTCCTCCTCCTCCTCCTCCTCCTTCCTCCTCCTCCTCCTCCCCTCCTCCTCCTCCTCCTCCTCCTCCTCCTCCTCCTCCTCCTCTTCCTCTTCCTCTTCTGAACAACTTTAGCGCGGCCAGCGGCCCGCCATGTTGTTATGTCACACTCTGCTCACGCACCGCCTGGTGGAAGGCATGCACTCGAAACAAAGCCCCAAGAACATGGATCAAGAACATGGGCCCCTTCGCTGAAAGCCCAAGGACCCATGGAGATATCCAAAACGAAGAGCAGTCCCAGGTGGAGCGTCCAACAGCGAAGAATTGAAGGATACCTTCCCAAAACTACGATTGGTCTTTACCCTCGTGCCAGTTGTACTTGACTCGTGAACACATTGCAACGCCAGGACCCCAGGGTCCTGAGGCCCAGGGGTGGCCCTTGCCGTACACGACGGCGGTGCGTAAGTAGGAGCCCCTTGCGAAAGTCTCCTGCAGCGTGCGCAGCTCCCCACCGAGCCCCGCCAGCGCCGCGGTGGCGGCCTCGTGCCGCGCCAGGCGCTCCGACACCTGGTCCAACCGCTCCTCCAGAGGAGCAAAGAGTTTGAAGAGGGCTGGGAAGCCCAACCAGAAGCTTCCGCTAAGGCAAAGCCCATATTCAACTCTGTTGCGCCGTAGTTACGATAGTCTCCGAAGTAGGAGATCGTCGCGGGAGCGACGGCCATGTCACGCGAAGATGTTTTCGGTCCCAATGGCAACTAGTGTGCCTCGCGATGAGGCACAATCATATGTCGGCGGCCGGCCGCTTGAGAACAACTGGCCGCGGACAAACGCTCGCTATCTCTCGCTTTTAGGCAGGCAGGCAGGCAAACAGACGGAAAGACAGACAGACAGACAGACAGACAGACAGACAGACAGACAGACAGACAGACAGACAGAGACAGACAGACAGACAGACAGACAGACAGACAGACAGACAGACAGGCAGACAGACAAACAGGCACCCGATGTCGGGCAGCGCCCGGCCCTGGCACCGCAGTGCCTCAGATGGACTCGTACACGAGGCCGCCCTCCGAGCTCGTCCACGGCCCCATATTGCAAGCACGTGTAATCCAGACCTCGTCAGGGGTGTCATAACCGGCAGCACACAAAAAATTGAATACATCGTCAGCCCAGGGATCCGGATCGTTCGACCTTGAACGATCGGGCGTTTCCGCAAGGTCAGAACGATCGACATCGAGCCATTCTGGGTCGACGGCGGCGTTCAACGTTGAACGCCGGCGGCGGGGTCGCCGCCGGTCGACATGACGCGAACCTGCCGTGTTTGCCGCTTTGTCCTCCTTGGACCTCACTCGGTTGCCAGCTCCCTGAGATCCGACGTCACAGAAAAATGCCACACAGTTCCTCACCTTCCTGTGGGTTTGGGTCCAGACGAGACAGCGCCCCGCGTCCCACCGCACCTCACCTTCCTCCTCTCGCTCTTCCCTCCTCCCCTGCGTGCCCCTGCTCTTCGCATCAGTCTACCATTTCGGCACACCCCTCACACGCTTCGTGGCCCCATAGGGCGCTCCACAGAAGGCTCCAGCGGCGGTGCTCACATGCGTCCCCGCACCCATTTCGGCACACCTCTCACACGTCTCGTGGCTCCATGGTGAGCTCCACCGAAGGCCCCAGTGGCAAAGTTCGCATCCGTCCCCGCCACACATTTCGGCACACCCCTCACACTGTGGCTCCACGGGGCGCTCCACCGAAGGCCCCAGTGGCGGTGCGCGCATGCGTCCCCGCCACCCATCTCGGCCCACCCCTTCAACGCTTCGTGGCCCATAGGGAGCTCAACCGAAGACCCAAGTGGCGGCGTTCGCATGCGTCCCCACCACCCATGTGGGCACAACCCCTCACACGCTTCGTGGCCCCATAGGGAGCACAACCGACGGCCCCAGTGGTGGTGTTCGCATGCGTCCCCGCCACGCATGTCGGCACAGCCCCTCACACGCTTCGTGGCCCCATGGGGAGCTCCACCGAAGGCCCCAGTGGCGGTGTTCGCATGCGTCCCCGCCACCCATTTCGGCTCACCCCTCACACGCGTCGTGGCCTCATTGGGAGCTCCACCGAAGGCTTCAATGGTGGTGTTCGCAAGCGTCCCCGCCACCCATTTCGGCCCACCCGTTCAACGATTGGTGGCCCAATCGGGAGCTCCACCGAAGATGCTATTCACTGGTGCGCTACTCACAACTGCATATGGTTGGGTCTCTCTCCTGGACAATTGTTCTCATAATGTTTGAACATACAACAAAAACAGAAAACATCGTCCCATCTTCCTGTGCCGTTCCTCGAGCTGGACAGATCCGTGAGGGCCCCAGGGACCGAAACATTTCAAAATCGCCTGTTGTGAACAAACTGCTACGCCAGAATCTCGGATTCAGGAACCTTCGACCCTTTCCATGGAACTGGTTCACATCCTGAGGCGTTTCTTGATGGTCCTGCGGCCCAGCGAGGGCTGCCAAATGTCAGAAATTGTGTTCTGTTGGTGCGTCGCGTGTCTCGAGACGCTGGAAAGGACGGATAAATCGTGTGTGGTGTTCATGTTTTCTGGATCTGCCCGAGGCCATCCAGAGCGAGATTGGGTTTTCGGGTCAGAACTCGGATCTCCGGCGGCGATCTGGGGCTATCAGGGCACCCCTGGAACGCTCTCGGCGAGGCGCTGCCGCTGGAATCGATGGTCCTCAGGACGTGTGTTAGCCCAATGTGTGTTTACCCCGTTCAGCCTTAAGTCACAAACTTTGTCCGATTTTGTATGTTTTCTTATTAGTATGATTCGTATTATGCTTACTGGTATTATGATGTACGTGTGCTATTCGTACTGTTACTAGCACTCGTAGTATTACTATTGATTGCCTTACTGTATGAATGATATTGCTTAGATGCGCATGATTAGTATGAGTAGTAGTAAGAGTAGTAGTAGTAGTAGTAGTAGTAAAAGAAATAGTAGTAGGAGTAGTAGTAGTAGTAGTAGTAGTAGTACTAGTAGTAGTAGTAGTAGTAGTAGTAGTAGTAGCAGTAGTAGTAGTAGTAATAGTAGTAATAGTAGTAGTAGTAGTAGTAGTAGTAGTAGTGGTAGTAGTAGTAGTAGTAGTACTAGTAGTAGTAGTAGTAGTACTGGTAGTAGTAGTAGTAGTAGTAGTAGTAGTAGTAGTAGTAGAAGTAGTAGTAGTAGTAGTAGTAATAGTAGTAGTAGTAATAGTAGTAGTAGTAATAATAATAAGCGAATGAGTAGGAATAGGAGTGGGAGTAGGAGGAGGAATAGGAGTAGGAGTCAGACTAAGAGTAGGAGTAGGAGTAGGAGTAGGAGTAGGAGTAGGAGTCAAGCTAGCCAGCTCGAGCGAGTCAAGCATGGCATGCCCAGTCCCACCCGCCCTCCCACAACATAAGAAGCAAAGCTGGCACAACTGGGGGCCGAAGTCACACCGGCCAGCCGGTTTGGTACAGCTGATGCGGCCGCGATGGCGGTTGCCGACGGGAACTGGCGAGCGCGTGTTGAATGCCGCGCACGCATTGCCAGACGAGTCGAGAATGGCCCGGTACACCGCAGGAAGCCAGAGGTGGCCGGAGGAAGCCCGACGGTCTGACAGGACACCCCAAAGCATTTTTGTGAAAAAGCATTGGGTTTTTGATGTTTTTATGTTGAAATGCTTGCAAACACACGGTGTTCGGTAGGATTCTGACATGAACGCGCGAGTGTGCTCTTTGTGGTATTTTTTGCACAGGATTCGCGGCCTGGGTGCATGACAGAGCATCGCGAGTGCACCGCGCGATGACGTGAAATCGCTGGATTTGACCGAATTCTTAAGATTCCTATGGTTTTCCTATGATTTCAGCAAGAGAGCCCGGGCGGGAAATTTGTACAATTTTTGTGAAAAAGCATTGGGTTTTTGATGTTTTTATGTTGAAATGCTTGCAAACACACGGTGTTCGGTAGGATTCTGACATGAACGCGCGCGTGTGCTCTTTGTGGTATTTTTTGCAATGGATTATCGCCGTGGACGACAGGACGTCCATGTCGAGAGGAAAAAATAAGAAACATGTTGATTTTGTATTGTTTTTTACAGGTTAGGATGGGACCCCCCGGATGCGGCCCCTAATGGCCGGCCTGAGGGGGGAGTAGGAGTATATTCTAATAAGGAATAAGGATAGGAGTAGGAGTAGGAGTAGGAGTAGGAGTAGTAGTAGTAGTAGTAGTAGTAGTAGTAGCAGTAGTAGTAGTAGTAGTAGTAGTAGTAGTAGTAGTAGTAGTAGTAGTAGTAGTAGTAGTAGTAGTAGTAGTAGTAGTAGTAGATAGTAGTAGTAGTAATAATAGTAGTAGCGGTAGTAGTAGTAGATGTTGTCGTAGTCGTAGTCGTAGTCGTAGCCGTAGCCGTAGTCGTAGTCGTAGTCGTAGTCGTAGTAGTAGTAGTAGTAGTAGTAGTAGTAGTAGTAGTAGTAGTAGTAGTAGTAGTAGTAGTAGTGGTAGTGGTAGTTGTAGTGGTAGTGGTAGTGGTAGTGGTAGTGGTAGTGGTAGTGGTAGTGGTAGTGGTAGTGGTAGTGGTAGTGGTAGTGGTAGTGGTAGTGGTAGTGGTAGTGGTAGTGGTAGTGGTAGTGGTAGTGGTAGTGGTAGTGGTAGTGGTTGGTGGTAGTAGTAGTAGTAGTAGTAGTAGTAGTAGTAGTAATAGTAGTAGTAGTAGTAGTACTAGTAGTAGTAGTAGTGGTAGTATTAATAGTAGTAGTAGTGGGAGGAGGAGGAGGAGGAGTAATAGTAGTAGTAGGTAAGTAGTAGTAGTAGTAGTGGAGTAGTAGTAGTTAGTAGTAGTAGTTAGAGTAGTAGTGTAGTATAGTATAATATTAGTAGTAGTAGTAGAGTAGTAGTAAGTAGTAGTAGTATTAGTAGTTTTACTTTACTAGTAGTATTAGTAGTAGAGTAGTAGTAGTAGTGAGTAGTAGTAGTGTTGGTAGTAGTAGTAGAAAGTAGTTAGTAGTAGGTAGTAAGGGTAGTAGAAAGTAGTAGTAGTAGTTAGTAGTAGTAGTAGTAGTAGTAGTAGTATACGTAGTAGCGGTAGTTTAGTAGTAGTAGTTGTGGTGGAGTAGTAGTTAGTGGTGTTAGTAGTTTAGGTACATCCTAGTAGTAGTACTAGTAGTAGTAGTAAGTAGTAGTAGTAAGTAGTAGTAGTAGTAGTAGTGGTAGTAACAGGTAGTGTAGTAGTTAGTAGTAGCGTATAGTAGGAATAATAATAATAGTCATAATAGCAGCAGTAGGGGTAGGGTTAGGAGTAGGAGTAGGAGTCAAGCTAGCCATGGCATGCCCAGTCCCACCCGCCCTCCCACAACATAAGAAGCAAAGCTGGCACAACTGGGTGCCGAAGTCACACCGGCCAGCCGGTTTGGTACAGCTGATGCGGCCGCGATGGCGGTTGCCGACGGGAACTGGCGAGCGCGTGTTGAATGCCGCGCACGCATTCCCAGACGAGTCGAGAATGGCCCGGTACACCGCAGGAAGCCAGAGGTGGCCGGAGGAAGCCCGACGGTCTGACAGGACACCCCAAAGCATTTTTGTGAAAAAGCAGTGGGTTTTTGATGTTTTTATGTTGAAATGCTTGCAAACACACGGTGTTCGGTAGGATTCTGACATGAACGCGCGAGTGTGCTCTTTGTGTATTTTTTGCACAGGATTCGCGGCCTGGGTGCATGACAGAGCATCGCGAGTGCACCGCGCGATGACGTGAAATCGCTGGATTCGACCGAATTCTTAAGATTCCTATGGTTTTCCTATGATTTCAGCAAGAGAGCCCGGGCGGGAAATTTGTACAATTTTTGTGAAAAAAACATTGGGTTTTTGATGTTTTTATGTTGAAATGCTTGCAAACACACGGTGTTCGGTAGGATTCTGACATGAACGCGCGCGTGTGCTCTTTGTGGTATTTTTTGCAATGGATAATCGCCGTGGACGACAGGACGTCCATGTCGAGAGGAAAAAATAAGAAAAATGTTGATTTTGTATTGTTTTTTACAGGTTAGGATGGGACCCCCCGGATGCGGCCCCTAATGGCCGGCCTGAGGGGGGAGTAGGAGTATATTCGAATAAGGAATAAGGATAGGAGTAAGTAGTAGCAGTAGTAGTAGTAGTAGTAGTAGTGGTGGTGGTAGTAGTATAGTGAGTAGTAGTAAGTAGTAGTAGTAGTAGTAGTAGTAGCAGTAGTAGTAGTAGTCGTCGTCGTAGTCGTAGTAGTAGTAGTCGTAGTAGTAGTAGTGTAGTAGTAGTGTAGTATAGTAGTAGTGTAGTAGTAGTTAGTAGTAGTGGTAGTAGTAGTAGTAGTAATAGTAATAGTAGGAATGGTAGTCTAGTAGTAGTAGCGCAGCAGTAGTAGAGTATTAGCAGCAAGTAGTAGTAGTAGTAGTAGTAGTATAGTAGTACTAGTACTAGTAGTACTAGTAGTACTAGTAGTAGTAGTAGTAGCAGTAGTAGTAGTAGTAGTAATAGTAGTAGTAGTAGCAGCAGTAAGTAGTAGTAGTAGCAGCAGTAATATTAGTAGTAGTAGTAGTAGTAGTAGTAGTAGTGGTAGTAGTAGTAGTAGTAATAGTAGTAGTAGTAGTAGTAATAGTAGTAGTAATAGTAGTAGTAATAGTAGTAGTAGTAGTAGTAGTAGTAGTAGTAGTAGTAGTAGTAGTAGTAGTTGTAGTAGTAGTAGTAGAAGTATTGCTATTATTTGTTCGATCTTCGCTTTGCTCTTCGTCGATCCTCGCCGCGCTGCCAGGCCCGCCGCAGGTCCTGCAGCGGACCCTGCACCGCGGGCAGCTCGCCAGCGCGGAGGCGGCCCGCCTCGGCGCCCAGGCGCGAGAGCTCCTCGGAGATGCCCTCGACCACCCGCAGCAGCCTCGCCTGCGAACGACGATGACCACGACGACGACGACGACGACGACGCCGCCGACGACGACGACGACGACGACTACCACCACCACCACCATCACCGCCGCCACCACCACCACCCACAGCAGCTTCGCCTGCGCCTCGGCCACCGCGCGCACGTCGCGCAGCGCGCTCTCGAGGCGGGGGTCCTCCCGCCGCGCCTCGGCAGCGGCCATTGGCCGCCCGTGGACCGCCGAGGGCAACAGCGACTTTTGCTCCTCTCCCTCGGGCTCGCGCGGGGGGGCGCGCCCACGGCCTGCTCTGGCCTGCCCCGGAGATCTCTGGATCCGCCTCCAATCCTCTGGAGTTTCCTCCATGTCCCTGGATCTGCCCAGATCTATCAAGGCTGATCCGCGCGAGTCGATCGGAGAAAAGCCGTCAAGCCCTCACGGGCTGGAGGGCGCCTGGGCGCCAGCGCTCCTGGCGGCGGCGCACCCCCCCGCGGCGCAGCCGAGCTCTCGGCGACGGCAGGCCCAGGCGGCTGCGGTTCCCGATGCTCCTGCCTCACGATGCTTCTCTCTCCAACTCTCTCCTCCTCCTCCTCCTCCTCCTCCTCCTCCTCCTCCTCCTCCTCCTCCTCCTCCTCCTCCTCCTCCTCCTTCTCCTTGCAGATAACCCCTCCCTGCCGCACCCCCAGACGTGTCGGTAGCGCGGGCTCGGCGTTTCGCCTGAGAGCTCATCACCACTATGAAACTGAAGCTCGCGATCTACATGGGATTGTCGCCTTAGCGCCGCGCACAAGCGCCTTGCAATGTTCACAATATAAAGATGTCAGGGCGATCGTTGCCATGAACCTCTCGCGACCCCACTTCAGGGTCTTCCTTCTTTCAAAGCCAATCAGATCAATTATCGGTAAAGCAAAACAGCGCGGGGCCGATGCAAAGCATCGCTTGGCATTGCTTGGTGATGATCGGTGTTAATTGGCAAAGCTTGGCATTGCTATGCATTCCTTGACTTCCTTGGCGTTGTTTGGTTTTGCTTGACATTCGCTGCGCATTGCGTGGCATGGCTTGGAACCATTGGCCTTGCATTGGTAAGCGTTTGTTGTTTTTGATTCGTGTTTCTACGCTTGGCACAGGGGGGGAAAGGGTGGGAGTCTGGTTCCGGCCCCCTGCTTAGTGCATCTGTTTGGGCCTCTGCTTTGATCCAAGGCCCGCTCCATTCTACTGGGATTCAAATTGAAATCAATTGAAATCCAAAGGGAATGAATCCTCCGGAAGTGGATTCTGCTCCATTCCAGTTAGAACCCAATCAGAACATAATCAGAATCCAAGTTTATCTTGGGTCCGCTCCCTTCAAATTTGGTTCCCGATTGGAACCAGCTGGAATCCAGTCGGAATCCTGTGGATCCGGGATCTGCTCTCCATCCCAATTCGGGCCCTCTGGATCCGAAATCTGATCCTTTCTGCTGAAATCTAATGCCAGCGCGCCCGGCGCAGTGGAGCCCCTTTCTCATTCTCGCGATTCTCGCGAGCTGCGCCCCGCAAACACAGCGCACCGAATCTGCGCGCCCCTCGCTCTGCCTCCGCGCCCCGGGCTGCTCACGCGGGCGGCGTTGCCAAGGCGTCCGCGCGCGTACACTGTGTAGCACTCACCCGTGCACGCAGTTTCGCGAAGCAGCGATTGGCGTGTGCACCGGGGAGGAGGAGGAGGAGGAGGAGGGGGAGGAGGAGGAGGAGGAGGGGGAGGAGGAGGGGGGAGGAGGAGGAGGGGGAGGAGGAGGAGGAGGAGGAGGAGGAGGAGGGAGGAGGGGAGGGAGGAGGGGGAGGAGGAGGAGGAGGAGGAGGGGGAGGAGGAGGAGGAGGAGGAGGAGGAGGAGGAGGAGGAGAGGAGGAGGAGGAGGAGGAGGAGGAGGAGGAGGAGAGGAGGAGGAGGAGGAGGAGGGGAGGAGGGGGAGGAGGAGGGGAGGAGGAGGAGGAGGAGGAAGGGAGGAGGAGAGGAGGGGGAGGGAGGAGGGGGAGGAGGGAGGAGGGGGAGGAGGAGGCGTCGGGACCCCCTGTGCGCACTCCGCCTGCCCGCGACGGGCTCCACAAGCAGCCTATACCTACCTACTCCATCGGGGGGCGGGGGGGGCCGCGCCGATCGGCACAACGATTGGCTTCCCCTCGGCTTGAGACTGCTCGGCACTGCCTGGCACTGCTCGGCAAGGGTACGCCTTGCTCTCTGCACCGCTTTGGCACCGCTCGGCACTGCTCGGCGCTGCTCGGCGCTGCTCGAGGCTGCGCAGAAGGTCCTGAAGTTGCGTGGCGTTCCCTGGGCATTCCCGGGCACTCCTCGGCCTCGCTGGGCTCTGCGTGTAATTGCCTGGCACTGCGTTGAACTCCTTGGCATTCCTTGGCGCTGCTCGGCGCTGCGAGGTCCCAAGCAGCCCCGAGCAACGCCAGGAGCTGCCCCGGCAACCCCAGGCAACCCCCGACGGCCCAGGGCAACCCCGGGCAGCAACCCCCAGACAGCCCTGATTGGCGGCGCGCAAAGGGGGACAGGGTGCACAAGGGGGAAGGGGGAAGGCTTCTTAGACGCACCCTGCTTCTTAGAAGACCCCGGCCTTACGTCCATAGAGAAGGCAATCGCCTTCTTAGAAGCGGGGGTGCTTCTACGAAGCCTTCCCCACTCCCCCAACCCCCCCTCTGCGCGTGGCCGACCTGAGGAATCCCGAGCAACGCCAGGCAACCCCAGGCATCCCCAGGCAAACCCTGGCAGCCCAGGGCAACCCCGAGCGACCCCAAACAACACTGACGAATCTCGAGCCACGCCAGGCAACCCCAGGCATCCGTTGGCAAACCTCGGGCATCCCCGAGGAACACTGGCTGTGAGGGGCCCCGTACCCACCTGTTTCTTTCGCAGACATGTAGGAACCCCTCTGGCAACGCCTGCTTGGGGAAAATGGTGCTCTCTCCTCCTTAACGCGCCCATGTTCATTTTGAAAGATCGTAGAGGTTTACACGGACGGCGGGCTGGTGGAATAAAAAATGCTGTTGCCGCCTCAGCGCCGCCCACATTCACCTTCAAAGTTTGCAACAGCTTCAAAAATGATCGAGTCGTTTTCAAAATGGGGGCCTCGCCCAGAGCGTCGCACACATTCGTCGCAAAAGCATGCAACAGCTTCACAAATGTGCCTTTCCTAGATGCGACTTTCGCTCGCAACATCCTCGAATATGAAACCAAACACATCTTAATAGATGCAACAGCTGCGCGGATGGTCGGAATGGGACTCTCATTTGGCACTTTTTCGAAGCTCAAGACCAAAAGTGGAAATTTGCCTTACAGTTGCACAGACGGGGGCGGTCCTTTTATCAAAACGGGGTTCTCGCTGAACACCTCTTCGATCTGCATGATCATAACTTGTCGCATCCCTTGTTCGCTAGAAGAATGTACCTCTTCTACCAGCTGGCAACCGCTACAAGGATGGAGGCCGGTTTCTTGAAGAAGTCTGGCTTTCGCCCTAGTACTACAAGGCGAGCTACCGCCCACTCGGAACCCGCCTTTAGCCTGCAGACTGCATCGGGCCCATGCCTGGCCCAAGACCTCTGGTCTTGATATTTTCCATGCAGGGTCCCTGGAGCTCGGCTGCACGCAAGAGTGACCCTCGGCAAAAATGAACTCTGGTGCGCGACTAAACGAGGAACTCGGAGTTGCCAAACCTGGGCGCCCAAGCCGCTGCTACCGCTTCGCGTTCAGCGATCGGGGGCCCCCATTGGTCCCGCACAAAAAATCACTCCAGCAAAAGGTCACTCTTCCCAGACCCCCGACGTCGTGCTTTTCACAGCGTCGGCCCCCAAAGGTCTCGACCCCTTCCCCGGGACCAGCCCTTCATCCTGAACAGACTCTGACGGCCCCGAGGTCTGGTAAGGGCCCGGGGAGGCCGAAATAGGCAAAAAAACAACAACAAAAAAAAAAAAAAAAAAACTCCCGTCCCGATGTTTGCACAACGCGAGGGGGTCTCTGAGTTGCGCCTCGTCGAGGAGCTCTGCACCGCGTCCCGGCGACGGGCCGATCGCCCCGGATCGCCGCGTGGCGGTCCCGGGGGCCCCGCGACGGCCCCCAGACGCCGAGGCCGACAGCGAGCCTCCGTCCTGCTCCGTCGATGCAGTCAACCGATATGACAGGAGCGCACGATACTGAAGGGGCCCCAGGACACACAGATAAACACACACGCAAATAAAAAGATTCCCCGTATTTTCCAATACCTTCTGGGTTTCTGTCTTCCCCCCCCACTTCCCATACATCTTCCCGCACTTCCTGGGGAATCGAAGATCGATTGTGCCTGTGTGTGCTTTTTCCTCTCCTGAGATACTTCTTCGTCGGCGGCGAGGCAGAGGCAGTCCGCTCCAGCGTGAGGCGAAGCGGGGCAACGGAGAGGCAGGTCGTCTGTCGCGCCAAAGGGAACGAGACGAGGGCGGCCGCGCGGGGGGTGGAGGGGGGGAAGCGCTCAGAGGTGGAAGAGTTCCGCGAACGCACGATACACGTCGGCCGGAAGAAGAAAGAGGCGGAAAAAAAGTTGGAAGGCGGATGGAGTAGACTGGGTTCAGGCCCTCCCAAAGAATCACAAATCACAGCGAAAGCAAAGCGATTCTTGAAGTGGGAAGGCGCTTGAAGCAGGCTGGGATCTGGAAATCCAGAAATACCTACTTTCAACGATCTGCGTGTAAGAATGCAAAGGCATTGGAAGACCAGATCGACACTTTGCAAGCGGAGCGCGCCCAACAGAAGCGGCCAAGGACGAAGGTGAAGGATCCAGGGGTGACCTTGGAAGATGCTCAGCCTTACCTTGCGGGTTGACTGTATGCGCTTGAGGTCTAGGGCTGCCACAGGTCGCCCGCAGAGCAGTGGAAGCGGGCGTTGCCGGCAGCGAGCGAGGGGGGAAGTGAGAAGGAGGAGGCCTTCTCAAAAGCGGCGAGGTTTCTCAAAGCCCTCCGGCCTTCTGAGAGGTTTTCTGCGTCTTCGGGGAACGCTTAGGAAACTTCTCAAAAGGCTGGAGGATTCCCAAGCCTTCTGAGAAGGCCCGCCCCTTCTCACTTCCTCCCCGGACTGACCGCCGACGTTGGAGGCTTGGAAATGGGCACCAGCACCAGAACAGGGGGATACGTCCATACGAGAAGGATGATCCTACTTTTCTCGGCCACCTTAGAAGCCCGAGTAGTACCACCATGGCCGAGATCGGGATCATCTTCCTTCAGTGGAGGCACACCGCCGATACCAGGCCGTGCACGGCGGCAGCGAAACCGAAACCGACTGGAATCGACATGCCGCAAGCAGGCTAAAGGGCGCAGTGACGCGGCAACGACACGACAATCGACCGAATCGACCCGACCGAACGCGACCGACTGCGACGCAACCGAACCGACTGAACCATGATCAACCTTGCGATATTGGTGCTGGTTCCAACCTCTGTTTAGACGCCCAAGATGCATACGGAAAGACTGGGCACAACACCCTTTTCCCAACCAGCAACGGCCGCTGTTGGGCAGGCGGCTTTCTGTCTCAAGTGGACAGAATCCGCGGCAACACCGACAGCGAGTCCTGCTCAAAATGAACCGGGAATCCTGCTGGTTCTCATGGGGAAATCAAAAAGTACCCATACTGCTACTCCCTGGACCTCTCCTGGGGTGCGCTCTGACCAGGACTTCGAAGCGAATCAAGCGGAGGCGACGAGGGCATCCCAGGAGGACCAAACAGGGGGAAACTGGCGGGCCGACTCGATAGTACCTACTCTCTCCGTACCCATCATTTCCGCACCCATTCTGTCGGTCTGTGCACTCATTATTCAGACAAGCGCGTTCCACTGCTCGCAAAGTAACTACTCGCGAATGGTCTGGATCCGCCGAGGGGGATATTTTGCTCGTGGCTCGGCTGCCGCGAACCGCGTCCGACAGGAACTCCGGACCTAGTTCTCTGCGCGGGCAGCCGCGAGGTATGCCTCCTAAAGCCGGCCGTCATATTCTCTGTAGGGGTGTGGGGCCGGGATATATGCCAGCAGCGCACGGCCAGGGTGCCTGGCCGGAATGACTCAACGGTCACCTCTGGAACATCCATTACATCGAGGCGACCACGTGTTTTTGCGGGCGCTTGCGAGCAGGCACTCTGCGGGTAGTGGCGCCAGCCTTACAGGCCTCACATACATAGGCAAGGCCCGCGCCGTCTAGAAGCAGGGGTGCTTCTAAGAAGCCCTCCCCCCTCCCCCTGCTGCCCCCCACTGCACGGTTTCCCCCGGGGCCGTAGGCGACAAGAGGAGGAGGAGGATGAGGAGGACGAGGAGGAGCAGGAGGAGGAGGAGATGGCCGATGAGGAGGAGGAGGAGGAGGAGGAGGAGGAATAGGAGGAGGAGGAGCAGGAGGAGATGGAGGAGGAGGGAGGAGGGGCAGGAGGAGGAGAAGGACGGGTCGCCTAAGCCATTCGGAGAAACCCTCCACCCCTGCCCCCGGACCCTGCCCCCCTCTGCGCGTGGCCGACAATCTGTCGGTCTCTGTACCCCTTTTTCCCGCACCCGTTCCGATCGCCCCTGGGCTCTCCGACGGGGCGGTTTTGGCGCCGCCTGCCGCGCCGCCCAGCGGCTCCGCCGCCTCGCCGGGGTGCAGTCTGAGGCCGCCTCCGCCAGGCGCGGCGCGGCAGGCGGCGCCGCCGCAGCGGTCAGCTCTACGCGACGACGACGACCACGACGACGACGGCGACGACGACGACGACGACGACGACGACGACGACGACGACGACGACGACGACGACGACGACGACGACGACGACGGCCGCGGCGGCGGCGGCGGCGGCGCGGCGGCTGCGACGATGAACGACGAAGGCGACGACGACGAACGACAGTGGCGACAGACTCGAGGGCGAAAATGAGGACGAGGTGGGGAGTGCGACGGAAGAAGGCGGGGGCGGAGTGGGACAGGCAGGTGGGCGTGGAGGGGTGTGGGCGGCAGGGGTAGGAGGGAGGGCGGAGGAGAACGGGTGGAGGATGAATCAGGAGGGGGAAGAGTACGAGGAGTAGGAGGAGGAGGAGGACGACGACGAGGACGAGGACGAGGACGAGGACGACGACGACCACGACGACGACGACGACGACGACGATGACGAGGAATGAGGGGAGGCAGAAAGAGGAGGTTGTAGAAGGGTGGAGAAGGCGGGAGGGGGAGGAAAACAGGGATGTGCACGGGGGCGGGGGGGGAAGCTGGGAGGAGGAGGTCGGGACGCAGAAGCGCCTCCGAACACCCGAGAAAACCGGGGTGACGCGAAACTGCGGCAGGCCCAGAGGTCGGGTCGGGTCAGAGGAAAATCGTTCTGGAGGGTCCCTGGGGGATGGAAATCTCGGCCTCGAGCTGGGTTCGCTGCCCTGACCTCACCTTGGACTAGGCCTTCCCCCTGCGCACCCTCGATAGAAGTGCCTGGGAACGCCCTGCGGAGGTGAGGGACGGCGGCCCGACGGAGGAGAATCGAGGTATGGAGAGGCGGAGGTCACGGATGCAAGCGGTGCTTCAGGGTGCTGAGCCGCACAATCAAGCGGTCGGCGAGCGCCACGCTTCACGGCGCATCGCTCACACTCACGCCAGGCTGGCCACGCGGGCTTGCCGAGAACGGCGGCACTGAGCGTACTGCGCAAGCTCAAGCGGGAAGAAGCAAACCCGACGCTCTGGCACGCCAACAGCAGCCCCAGCGGGCGGGGACACTGCGGCACGGTCGCTGCAGCGCGGGGAGAGGACAGACAAAGCACTGTCAGGAGCCGTGGCTCCGCTGGCTGGTGCAATCCAAAGCTGCAGATTTGAGCATTGCGTTGGCTCCGAGCGCCGTCGAGGAGGCATGCCAAGCCGCAGACAAGACGTAGAACTGGCTGGGAAATCCTCTGGGGAGGCCTCCCCAACAGGAGCATCGCACACTTCCCTGGTCTGCTGCTGGCACCGCGCTGCGGGGTCGAGCGCCTGCGAGGCCAGCCTCTGCAGCGAAGATCGAGCCGCGCACAGCGAGGGCGGAAGGATCGCGGAACATACTGGGGGCAGGTGGCGGAGAGGACGACGACGACGACGACGACGACGACGACGACGACGACGACGACGACGACGACGACGACGACGACGACGACGACGACGACGACGACGACGACTGCACTCCTTTCGCCCCCATACCGCCACGCGCGCACCTCGGGCAGGCGCATGTTTACTCCTGTCCCTCCCACGGACAGCCCCTCTCGGGGTCGCTGCGCGCCGTCCCCCCCGGCAGCGCCCGCCCTGTGCGCCGTCAGCCTGGGCGTGCCCGCGCACCCGCGACCTCGGCCGCCGCCTGCGTGGACAGCGCAATACAATCGAAACACAGCCACGAGAACGCGCATCGAGACTCAAGAGCACAAGCCGACGGACCCAAGGCCCTAACAAGGCCCCATGGAGGCACCCGAGGAAAGAGCAGGCAGCCAGACGTGGAGAAGAGCGCAAGGGCACCCTTCCTGAGCCTGGGTCGTTTTGTGCGTTTCGCCGCCGCGCCAGCTGTGCCTGGCACCGAATCCCAAGCCGGACGCACGTGCTTGTTCCGACGCGCCAGCGAGCCAGCCCGACCAACGGATGCACGACGGGGGGGGGCCGCCCGCCCAGGCAGAGTGGCTTCCGTTTGTGCAGCGGCGTCGTCCCGATGGTCGCACGGGTACAACAACGGAACACACGGAACACACGGCCAGAAGGCGGCAAAGCCTACAGGGCAGTTGTTTTTTCAATACATAGGATATATAAATGATTAATTTATGAATAAAACTATGCATGAACTCATCGTTGCTATTAATAATATATCCCTGCGTTTTTTATACATGATCCGCACGTGGAGCATGTATTAATTATCCCGGCAAAGCAACCTAACAGCGATGCGTAGGAGCATATCTGGAAGCATTCCCCTTCAGATTAAAATGAGAATCCAGTTGTAGAATTCTGCTGTTCTCGCAGTCGTAGTCGCATTCGCGATGACAGTCGCAGTGGTAACGGCAGTCGCAGTCACAGCCTCAGCCTCAGCCTCAGCCTGCCTCAGCCTCAGCCTCAGCCTGCCTCAGCCTCAGCCTGCCTCAGCCTCAGCCTCAGCCTGCTTCAGCCTCAGCCTCAGTCTGCCTTCAGCCTCGGCCTCAGCCTCAGCCTGCCTCAGCCTCAGCCTGCATCAGCCTCAGCCTCAGCCTCAGCCTGCCTCAGCATCAGCCTGCTCAGCCTCAGCCTCAGCCTGCCTCAGCCTCAGCCTCAGTCTGCTTCAGCCTCAGCCTCAGTCTGCCTTCAGCCTCGGCCTCAGCCTCAGCCTGCCTCAGCCTCAGCCTGCCTCGGCCGCAGCATCAGCCTGCCTCAGCATTCAAAATGTGGCCCAGGAATGGAGTTCTGGGAACTAGAAGAACACGAAGTGGCCTACAGTTGGCTCCGGGCATTCAAAATCATGCCCAGGAATGGAGTTCTGGGAACTCGAAGAGCACGAAGTGGCCTACAGTTGGCTCCGGGCATTCAAAATGTGGCCCGGGAATGGAGTTCTGGGAACTCGAAGACCACGAAGTGGCCTACAGTTGGCTCCGGGCATCCAAAATGTGGCCCGGGAATGGAGTTCTGGGAACTCGAAGACACACGAAGTGGCCTACAGTTGGCTCCGGGCATCCAAAATGTGGCCCGGGAATGGAGTTCTGGGAAGTCGAAGAGCACGAAGTGGCCTACAGTTGGCTCCGGGCATCCAAAATGTACGCCGGGAATGGAGTTCTAGCAGCGCCAAGAGCGATTTTGCGAGGATGTCCCAAGCGATTTGGGCTTCGACGGCAGCCGCGCCGGGTCCCGCCCCGGGTCCCGCCCCGACCCCCCTGAGGAGTCATGATGCTCTCTTTTGACCCCACTAGAAACCTATCAGTCTTCGCTGTTAGGTAAAAACGGCACTGCCCCAAGCCAGATTCTGTACAGCTGCTACGGCGCCCTGGGCCAAGTTGCGGCCGGGCTGCAACAGGACTGCTGTGGAGCGAAGGAGGCACTCTGGCGGCGGAGCGGGGGGGCCAGACCCCCGACGTCATGATGTTTTCACAGCGCGCGCTGGGCCCCGCGGGGGCCGCCGGGGCCCGGCCCCGTCGCGCCGCGCGAAGAGCTCGGGGCCCAGACCCCCTCGGGTTCTGAAGAAATCACGACGGGAGGTTGTTCCTAATTTCTAGCCTGCGGGGGACCTCGCCGGGCCTCGGGACCCTCCAGAAACCGACTCGGGATGGGAAACTGGCCCTGGGGAGCGGGTCGAGAACTCTGGGGGTCGACGTTATGAAAAAAATCATGACGTCACGTCGGGGGTCTGGGTAGATGGGGTCGGGGGATCGCCCCGCGTCGCCGATGCATCGGTGATGCATCGGCGATGCATCGTCGACGTGGGCGTGCATCGTCGGTCGACGTGGACATCGTGAAAAATCGTGACGTCGGGGGTCTGAGGGGCGGGAGGCTTCTGGCCACGGCTGTTCGGACTGGGGCGGCCCCCGCCAGGCCGCGGGGCCGTCCAAAAAAAAAAGGCTCGGGAGGAGGCACCGGCCCCCGGGGAAGGGTCCCCCCCCACACTGCCTCCACGAGGCCCTCCGGAGAGCCAAAGTCAGCGGTGCTTCAAAGGTGTTGAAGGACTCGGGCGTTCTCGCCTTTACGGCTTCACGGCGCTCCAGGGCGGCCCCAGAGGCCTCCAAGATCGCCCAAGAGTCCCCCAAGAGCTGAGTCATGCGAGTGTCACGACGTCAGAGCTCCGGGGCGGTGGGACGCAGACAAGGGCGGCTACGGTGCCGTGCTCGCGCGACGGAAGACTCTGACCCCCACGTTCGGACTCGACTGGAGAGGACACGTGGGAGGACACGAGACCCTCCTCTGAGGGCCACGCTGCCACAGGAACCCAGAAGGCACGGGCCGCAGGACTGAGGACACCAGGGTGCACGTGATGTGGCAGGGTCGGCCTACCGATCAGGGCCGACAGCGCTCCAACCCAAGGACATCCCTCCGCTCCGACTTTTTCGCTGCGTGGGCCCCGGAGGTCCGGACCACTGCCCCGATCGGGGCCGGCTTTTCGCCCCGAGTCCTTCTGCTGACGCTCCCGAGGCCCGGCGAGGGCCCCCGGAGGCCGAAGATCTTCGGCTCCGATGTCTGTAGCGTCGGATCCCTGGGAGGGGGGGACGCGGCACGGTGCAGTGTTCTGCCGCGGCGATCCGTGGAGCGCAGGGCGGTCGAACAGCAGGAGTCCAGGAGCGGGCCGCGGGCGGGCTCAGGGCGCACCTGCGCGGCGGGAGAGGAGAGGGAGGGCTTCCGCGGCAAGAGGCGGCGTCCTCGCCCTCCTCCTCCACCTCGTCCTCCCCCAGCGCCTCCTCGTCTCTCTCCCTCGCAGCGCCTCCCTCATTTTCGGGCTCGTTCCGAATCGTGCTCCCGCTGCAGCGCTGGCCTCATTTCCGCGCTTCCGCTCGCTCCGAATGGCGGTCCCGCTGCAGCGCTGGCTTCATTTCCTGGTTTTCACCTGTGTTTTGTGACAATTCGATTCTGTTCGGTCCTTCAAAGTGCTGCTCCCGCTGCAGCGCTGGCCCCATTTCTGCGCCTCTGGTTGTTCCAAAACGTACTCCCGCTGCAGCGCCGGCATTTTCGGTCCGTCAAAATAGGCCCCAAATCTAGAAAATGGCCCCCAGAAAAAAAAAAAAAACGCAAGTGATTACACATCTGGCGTCGATTCGTTGCATTTTTGGTCCGCAGAAGGCCCCGCGGCGTCGTTTGGAGGAAGTATCCAGCGGGAGCTCCGTTTCTGCTTTCAGAAGGCGATGTTGCAAGCAGAGCCAGCGGGTGCTCTCCATCAGCCCTGCCGTGGGAAGCTTTTCGGGGAGCCCAGGGAGCCAAACATGGAGCTGCGACTCCAGACCAGCCCAGGCCCTTCGAAAACGATCCAGTTACCCTCCAAAGAACCCAGCGCCCTGCCATGACATGTTGTGCGGTGTTCTGTTCTGCGCCACTGTGCGATGCCATGCGGTGCGTTGCAATGCTTTGTGATGCAATGCTTCACCACGCAATGCCACGCCATGCTATGACATTCTACGCTCTACCCTGCTCTTCTACGCCATGCCATGCCGCGCTCTCCGATGCATCGCGCACCCTCTCGCGATCATTGCCCTGCTGGACATCCGACTGTGCGAATAATATAGAGGAGATCTACGCACGCCATGGCAAGGGATAGGAGGGAGGGGTAGGACGTCAGATATGACGCGAGCGCACCTAGCTTGCCCCCCCCCCCCTTTCCGCAGAGGCCCCCCCCCTCCTCCGCCCTGACCCCCCCCCCGCACCCCCCCATCCCCACCGCCCAACCCTGGCCCAACCCGCGCAGGCCGCCGAGAAAACCCGCGAGAGAGACCCCCGGAGACAGCCGAAGGGCCTCCGCGGGAAGCACCCCGAGAGACGTCTCGGCGGCGAGCCCGAGGGGAAGTGGAAAAGGGCGGGCCTTCTCAGAAGGCTCGAAGGACCCGGGGCCTTCTGAGAAGCTTTATGAGCCTTCCCCGAAGACAACAAAAGACTTCTCGGGAGGCGCGAGGGCTTCGGAGCAGCCCCGCCGACTTCCGAGGAGGACTTCTCCTTCTCGCTTCCCCCCCTCGCTCGCCGCCGAGTCTCCGAGGCCCCCCCCCCCGCAAGGACCTCCAGGGCGCCCGCCGAACGGGAACGACGTCCGAGGCGACCTCCGACGGGATGCGCCAGGCCGCGGCGGCCGCCGCCGCCCCTGATCGACTTCCATGGAGCGGCTCTCTCCGGAGGCCTGCTCCCACGCGGCGCGCTTCGGCCCGAGGCGAGGCCGGCCCGCCTGCCGCTGCGAGGCGGCGCTCGGGGCGCGAGCGCGCCGAGGCTCGAGGCACGACCGACGCCGCGTGGCGAGGCGGCCCAGGCGTCGGCCTCCGACACCGCGTGGATATCTTTCCGCCTCGAGCGGACGCCGCGCTCCGGCGGCGCAGCCCGCTCGATCTATCGGCCGCTGCTCGCTCCGACGGCGGTGCTCACAAGCCGTGGGTCGCCGCAACCGCCCGCGCGGCGCGAGGCAAGGCCCGCGTGCTGGAGGTGCGCACGGCGAGGCAGGAGGCGGAGCACCCCCAGCGCGCGCGGCGCGCCTGCTCCGAAGAGGGCGCAGCTGACCGCTCGCAGCTCGTCCCTGCGCGGGGTGGGCTGCCGTCGTCGCCGCCGCCGTCGGCGTCGTCGGCGTCGCCGCCGCCGCCGCAGCCGCGGTCGTCAGCGGCGTCGTCTCCGCGGTGGAACACGCGAGGGCCAGCGAGGGGCCGGGCGAGGGCCCGCGAGACAACGGGCGGGGGCCGGCGAGGCGAAGGCCTGCTCCGAGGAGGGGGAGCGATGAGGGCGGTCGAGTGCAGAAGGGGGAGGAGCGGCGGGAGGAGGACGACAACGACAGAGCAGGAGCGTGCAGATGTTCGAAGCTTTTGGGACACGCGCGAGAGGCACGAAGGCGATGGCTTCGCTTAAAAACGGGCCGCCCTCGATCCTGCCCTGCTGGAAACCT